TCGGGCAACATTCATCAATTTAACCTTCACAAAACAGACAATATCACTCACTTTTCTATACCGACTGCTTCATGATGGTATGTGAATGATTCATCTACATTGTTTCTCAACAAGAAATCACAACCGAAGATCAAGGACGTCATCTCGTCTGTTCGTTGAACTCTGAACACAAAACAGATGTCTCGGATGAAAAGAACAAAGATCGCCTACAAAAAGTGTCTCAGAGAGAGAGGTTCAGACTCACTGCACTCCTAGAAAATTATGCATCAATTCAGCATATTTGAACGAGCCACCACCGGTGCAATGTATAACATCATCAGGCATCGCGATCATGCCAGTTCTGAAAAAAAAACATAATAAATAGTCCCAAATGGGCTTCCTTGATTATACAAGTACCGTCCACAATCTCTGAGACTGCCTCACTTTCTGCAGTAAGTACAGGGCTCTACAGTAAGTAATCAAGCCGTTGCGGCCCTCGATTTTGTTCAGAATCCTCCCTAGTTGTCGTACCCACCAAATATTCAAAGGCTATTTTCTGTCAACAGCTAAGCTTTTCACTGCGTTTTCGTTTTTTTACTACTGTTTATAAGCATTAGCACTTTTTATCAAGCCTTCAAGTTAGGGAGCGCCTCTCCCCGCCCCCCCCCCACCCCTCCCAGACTCAATAAGAAGAGTTCATGAACATTACGATAGTTCTAGTTTTAACCAAGAGTCAAATCCCACTCCCAAAGTTATTAACGGCGAATAATTCGCAATACTTAGGTGTGTCTGTGTCAAAAGTACTCATTTGTTCACAGCAAAGACTATTTTTGAAGGCATTTACAGCGCCACCATCACGAAAATGTAATATTCTACTCCTGCTAATGAAAGAATATTTGCTCCTGATGACATTCTCTACCCAAAACCCTTGCTACTCTTCTACGCGATACTTCTACGAAACTGGAGCTTAGGGCCAAAAACTCTTCTTTTTGGCGTGAATCGTGTTTAATAACTATAAATCAGGGCGGCAGAAATCGCATTAGCAGTCTTGGTACGAACGGAATATAGAAAAACCGCACTTACACCCACTCGTCTGACGCATTTCCCCATTAGTGCTAGAGTGTAGCAAAACAAAAATACAGTAAGAACACGCTATCACCAAGCGCATGGTAAGGAGGACGCCCCCAATTGCGCCATTCGTTGGGAGGGGATTGGCGTAATATGGGTACGCATGAAACAGGGAAAAGAAACCAAAATACGATCCCCGCCCTATTGGCGATTCCCCCAACAACGATGTCCCTGGCCTTTCAGCCAAGAATCCGATTTCCTAATTAGCTCTTGTCACTATCCAACTATTATAATGACTCATGCAACCTATTTGCCATTTACTGTTTAATGTTGTTCGCCAGATTATTTTTTGCTGCCTGAGATTATTTTTTGGTGACTGCCCTCGGCTGATTCAGTTAAGATGCGGTAATGAGATAGTGCAGGCGTGGATTGTTATTTCCGCAATGCCGGGAGAGAGGAGTAAGGTGAAGTTCTAAATGAAGTCACGTGCTTGGCATTAGCATCAGGACCTAATTGTTTTGATTTCGACACACTGCGGTAGTATGTCTGTCCAAAGGAACGGTCGCGCAACGGTCCGCCGATGACCTACGAAAATGCAAAAGGGTACTGTAAGAGGTTTAGCATTTGGTCAGCGATGGATTAACTCTGTGTCCATAGTTTTTGCGGCGGAAACTTGTAAGGTAAAGAAGTTCTTGGCGCAAATTCGCCTCAGTGACACCACCCTTTTTCCAGTGACTCCGCCTCCAGACTCCGCCTTCAAAGCCCGCCTCCAGCCAAAAGCTGTGCTACCGCACAAGTAGCATGAAAGGGAGATGCTCCATAGTCTCCTGCGGAGTCATACGGCCTATCAGGAAGAATGAACCGACCGGATGCGATTCAACACGCGGTCTTTCGGCCTTTTACCCATACAACTGTCTGAGACCAGGAGTGGTCGTATTAGGGGCGTTTCCGACGTTCCCTTTGGCATTTTCTCTTTACAGGCAAGTCGCTTGGCAAGTTGTCTTCCTCATTTCAACACTATTAAATGAGCTCCTCATCGCGACCGTGCCTTTAACAAGCCACGAAGATCCAGGTAGCATGCGCAAATGTGGGGCATCTTCTAAATGAAAGAATCGACGGTCAAAAACAGCAAAGAAATTGGAGGCGAGAGCGAATAAAGTGGGGAGTTCCAACCAAGATGACAAAAAGTTGATATGTGATCTATCAAATCTGTCGCCTCTACTTTTGCATGTTCTCTCGCTGCTCTTGTCTGCACTCTCCCGTAATCCGCGGAGACTCTTCACTACCCGCTCGGAAACAGGAAAGTTTTATTCAGGACATTATGATATAGTGACGGTGAGCTTAATGGCTGATTCTGCAATCATTCGTAAGAACTAAAGGTAAGGGAGTGTGGACGGGAAGAGATAGTGTAGATCGCAGTAGGACAGCCTTACCCAAAATCTGCGTTAGGGACTGAAAGGGATAAAGCAGAAGGTTGCTTAAGTGACTCCGCCCTG